TAAGTGTAAAGCCACTCATCCACCTAATCATTCTCATCTCGGCAACACTTAACTTATTATTATGCTTCTCTTTTAAAGGCCAACATTCAGCGCCATAGAGCATTGCAGGTCTCACCACCATCTTATAAAATTTTCCTTTCAGTCTTAGCGGTACTTTTCTATCACACAAAAAGCCCGAAGCATTCCTCCATTTCAACCAACCAACTTGAATTCTACTATTAACATCCCCATCTATATTACCGTCACTTTGAACAACATACCCTAGATATCTAAATCGTTCACACCTTTTAATAATTTGATCACCCAAAGTTTCACTTCTGTCATTAAAACTAGTACTACTAAAATTACATTCTATGTATTCAATTTTAGTTTTACTCAAATTTAGACTCCAATGTAGACCTCCATAATTCAAGTTTTTCTTAGGTTTTTTCTCTAGTCTTATCCACGAGAAGGATATCATCAGGAAAAAGCATACACCAAGGTATATCCTCCTGTAAATGTCCAGTAAGACCACCCATAACTAAAGCAAAAAGATATTGGCTAAAAGCTGATCCCTGATGTAATCCAACAGAAATAGAAAAATAGTCAATCCTCCTTCAGTTCGAGCACAAGTAATAGCTCTAGCATACATATCTTTAATGATTTGAATATAAGTCATATCAACACATTTCTTCTCAAAAACTCTTCAAAGGATATCTCTTGGAACCTTATCGTAAGCTTTTTCTGAATCAATAAAAATCAAATCTAGATCCTCCTTATTATCTCTGAACTTCTCCATCAAACCTCTCAATAAATGTATAGCTTCATGGTAGACTTGCCCGACATAAATCCAAATTGATTATGAGAGATCTTTGCAATACGTCGTAACTTATGTTCAATTACCCTCTTCCATAATTTTAAAGCATGACATATCAACTTAATTCCTCTATAATTAGCATAGTGCATCCCCTTTATTCTTAGATGGGGACCAAACTACTCTTCCTTCACTCCTGAGACATCTTTTAAGTTTTTAAAATAATATAAAGAGTAGTAAACCAAGAAATTTTGAAATCTCCTAAGTTTCACTTTAATGAGTATATAATCAGGTCCACAGACTTTCCAAGATTGGTTTTCTTTAAAACATCCTCAACTTCTTTTTTACTAATGTAACATAAAAATAATAAATTATTATTATTACTATTATAATATTATTAACATCATTAAGGTTGATCGTATTTTCAGAAATTTCATTAAAAGGTTTATCAAAATAGCTCACCCACCTATGTTGAATATCTTTTTCTAAGAAAAACACTTTTTAATTTTCATCTTTAATACACTTTACTTGAGTTAAATCTTTACTTTTCTTATCTTTTTGTTTGGCTAGTGTATACATATATTTTTCACCGTCCTTAGTATCTAATATATTATAAGAATCCCTAAAAATAGAATTCTTAGTGTCACATATTGTTATTTTAGACTCTCTACAGGTCGTTTGATATTTTTCTCAATTATCTAAACTTTTATATCTAAACCAATTTTTATACCATAACTTCTTATATTTTATCTTTTGTTGCAAATTACTATTCCACCATCAACTATTTTTATTCATAAACTATTTTTATTTAAAGAAATTTTTAATTTTGATTCTTCAAGTCCATTTTTTGCTACTTGTTTAATAGTGTTTGTTATTTTATCTCGCATATCATTTGATTCATCATGAACATCCCAAATATTGAAATCTTGAATTCTACTCATAAAAATAATTATTTGTGTCTTTTAGGTTCTCACATCTAATTCTACGATGATGAGACTTAGTATTTTTTTATTTTACACCTCTTCATATTAAAATCTATAACTAATAATCGATGTTGGGTACTTAAATCTTCACTTGAAATGCCCTTACAATATTTACAATCTCGACGATCTTTTCTTCTCATAAGAAAATAATCAATTTGTGTTTTATTAAATTCATTCTTATAAGTAATAAGATGTTCATCTTTTTTCTTTAATAAAGTATTAGTAATAATAAACTCATACGCTAAAGCAAAATCTAAAATGACGCTATCTTCTTTATTAGTCACTCCAAAGCCGTAGCCACCATGAATATTTCTGAAATCTTCAACCACTCTACCGACATGTCCATTTAAATCTCCTCCAATAAAAATTTTTTCTTCAAGAGGTATCATTTGTATTAAGTCTTCTAAGTCATTCAAGAATTTATCTTTAGACCCTATATCTGAACCTACTTGAGGAGCATAATCACTTATAATATTAAAAATCTTAGTATCAATAATAATCTTAGAGGCTATAATTCTATCTCCAACTCTATTAATTTTTACAACATTATCTTTCAAACTCTTATCTATAATAACACTTACACCATTTCTAGTGTTACCCTTACCAGAATACAAAAGTTTAAAACCTAAATTATCAATCTCCTTAAACTTTTATCCAACCCATTTAGTTTCTTGAATAATAAGATATTATTCTTTTTATGAATCTAATATCAACTAATTCTATTAAACCATTGAGAGTACCTATATTCCAAGATCATATCCGAATATTAGTTTCATTAGTTTTATAGATTAACTTCTTTACCCGCATCCATCCGTAAACCCGGACGCTGGTATAGCGACACTTTTCACTGTATTCATGTCATACAATGTGTCGCTTCCAGAGGATGCCCTAGCACTTACACAATGATCAAAAGGATTCATGTTATAATGTTTTTCGACAAGTTCTACGCTCTCTGTCGACTACCTAACGCAACCCTCAACTTTTCACATCCTATATGTATATATATATATATATTGAAGATGACAAAGATGGAAATTGTATAAAAATTTGGGTAAGACAAAATTCACACACGAAACAAATGGCATGAACAACACAATGAAGTTTCATAAATCCAACCTCAAATGGTAGGGATAAAGCTAACGATGATTATTTTTCATCGTCACTACTATGATTTCATGTCAGCAGATATATAAAGGCCAAATTATAGGTTTTTACCAAAAACTCTAAGTATGTGATGAAATCATGAATGAATATTTAAATTTCAAATTAAACGGGTGTCAAAAAGATTAAAGCGCTCCTTTATCTTTGAGAACCTTACCTTCCTTTTCATTGCACAAAACTTACAATCTGATGCAGATGGTGGTAGAACCTGATTAACAATAAGTCTCTTCACTGGTACACTCTCTTTCTTTAAGGATGCAGAAAGTCTAGATGACTCACTAATTGCCATAACCTAAAGGAATATGGGAGTAAAAATTATATGAAGCAAAAATAGAGATTTTCAATTATAACAATTCAAAAGAATTCTTCGTGCTCAAATCAAATTAATCATTCTTAGGATAGAAGTATTACTGAAAAAAAAAATAACTCCATTGTTTAAATTCCAAAATAATGAAGAAAAAGGATTCATGTAGCCGACCCCACATAGTGGAATAATGGCTTTGTTGTTGTTGTTGCTGCTTAAATTCCAAAATAATCTTACATTATTCGTTTGTGGCAAATTATGTCAGGAGTGCCATATTTCTCCAATTTAATTTATTGACTATACAAAAATGATCCAAAAATAGTCACTCATGTAAAAATTAGGAAAAAAAAATTGATCCCAATTTAGTTCCTCAACTATAGAAAATTGACCCAAACTCCTAAGGGTTAAATTGGAATCTTTTTTTTTTATTTGGTTTTTCATAAAAAGGAAGAAAAAAAAGTGGGGTGGAATGTAAAAGATAGTAGTATACCGTTGGAATAGTCACAATAACAAATTCAGTGGAATCTGTATCACGAAAAAGCTCTCGTACTTTGATCATTCTCTCCCTTAATTGCTCCAGTTTATCAGACTATACAACAGAAAATAAAACTTGATAACTTTTTGGAAATTATATTTTAATTTTTAAATGAGTCACTTACAGCATCTTGGCGTGGTTCTTCCTGTCCAAAGACGGATTTAATGGCTGATGTAGCCGCAGTTATCTTCTTTTTTAGCTGAAGCAGGCAAGAATTTTGATGAGCCATTAAAAAATATGCAACAAGATAAATTGGTCTATGTTCAGTAAATTCTGATTCTGCAAAACAAAAAAAAATGGTGGATATTCATAAAATGAAATACCAAGTCAAAACTTTGTTGTTCAAATATGACTAAAAAAATACAAATAAAATTATCATTGGATTCTCCATGCACTCAAAAATAATGAATGACCAAGTTTGTGCTAACAAAGAATGTGCATTTGATATTCATGGCAGTCCAGTATCACTTGCGCCACATATAACATAATATGGAGTATTTTGGAGAATATAAGGGCTTCTTTGTGATCAATTTTATTATTATTATTATTATTATTTTGCTTTTATTTTTAAAACATGTTTCTTTAGTGTATTTTTTGCTTTTAAAAATAAATTATTTTGTTTTTAAAAGCACTCAAAACATAAAAAAAAATTGTTTCAAGTATTTTTTAAAACAACTAAACATGTTATATTATATCAAACATGTTTTATTTTAACTCAAAACATAAAAAATAAAATAAAAATAAAAATAAATTAAAATAAATCAAGTGATCATAAAGAGCCGCTAAGTATCCAAAAATAGCATTCATACTGCTCACAAAAACCGTTGAGATCATCAGGACCGACCACAAGAAGCATTACGTTTGGTTACTTCGGACAAGTTAGAATTACAGAGCTTCAAACGAGCCACGCCAACGACTAAATTGAAAGCAAAATACACATTAAACCATGATTTAAAAATTAGGCCGAACTGACGCTTCAAACGTGAAGCAGTTCAATCCAAGTATAGAAGTATTTCTGCATAGAATCAAGATTGAACATCAGAACTAGAGTTGAACTGGTCTGGTTTTTAAAGAACAAGTTGGTTCAAATATTATCAAATTTTAGCATTTTAATTTTGATGGGATGGCCAAAAATAATATATTTAAATTAAGAAAATAGAAAATATCATGTCTTAAAATTTTTATTTAGAATCTTGTTCAAAACATTCAAAAGTATTGTCCTAAATTAAAATATTATTTGTTGAATTGATAAAATCGATATTAATTTATCATTATTCTATTATTTAAATTATATTTAAATCATTTTAATATTTATTACATCACCAGGTTCAACCCCACTTGAATCATCGAATCTTGAAACTTGTATTCTTCCAGTTTAATAATTGGACCGGTTTTATATTTTTATTTTATTTTATTGTTTTGTTTATGTTTTTAATTGACATAAAAATTTTTGGATATATTATAATATTTTAGTTATTGTTAAAAAAAACTCAAAATAACTTTTAGATATTTTGAGTGTTTTTAAGAATAAATTAATTTATTTTTTAAAACAAAAAATAAAAACATGCAAAAGATGCATGTAAAAATCATAATTTTAAAATAAAATAAAAAATAAAAACAATAACAACAAAGCCTTCATTCCATTACGTGGAGTCGCCTACAAGAATCCTTTTTGAATCATTTTTCTCTATTGTGTCCTATTTAGTGTCATATTTTCATTTATTTATAAAAATTAAGATCATTTTTTATACAATAAGCCCAAAGTATTCCTTGGTATACTTGTCTTTCTTAACATAAGTTGAATCTAAAACATCTACTCTCCTAATCGGATCATCAAATGGTCGACGTTTAATGTGACCAAACCATCTAAGACGACTCTAATTTTGTTCGTCACTGGAGCTACGCCAACCCTATCACGAATATATTCATTTCTCATTTTGTCTCTAAGTGTAAAGCCACTCATCCACCTAATCATTCTCTCCTTGGCAACACTTAACTTAGTATAATGCTTCTCTGTTAAAGGCCAGCATTCAGTGTCATAGAGAATTGCAGGTCTCACTACCATCTTATAAATTTTACTTTCAGTCTAAGCAGAACATTTCTATCACACAAAAGACCCCGAGCATTCCTCCACTTCAACAAACCAACTAGAATTCTACCATTAACATCCCTATCTATATCACCATGGCTTTAAACAAGAGACCCGATATTTCTAAATCGCTCACACTTTTTAATAAATTGATCACCCAAAATTACACTTTTGTCATTAGAGCTACTACTACTAAAATTACATTCCATGTATTCATTTTTAGTTCTACTCAAATGAAGGACTTTAGACTCCAATGTAGACCTCCATAATTCAAGTTTTCCTTGGGCTTTTTCTCTCATCTTATCCACGAGAAAGATATCATCAACAAAAAGCATACATCAAGGTACATCCTCCTGTAAATGTCCAGTAAGACCATTGTTGACCTCAATTTTGGATGAGGTTTAGTTTTTTCCTCTTTAGTAGCCTGGGGTCTAGCCATAGAACTTTCCTGTTGACTATTCCTAGAGAACTAGAAAAGAAACCCTCACCTTTAGAAATTCTAAACTCCTCTTTGCTTAATTTGAAGTTCCACATACTGGTCATAACCTCTAGCACTTAGTAGGTGGGGTCAATATAGAGGAACTCAGGATGAGTTCTTATAGGACTGCTTGACTTTAGGACTGATCCTGGGTGTTGGTCTGGAGCTGTTTCACTCATTTGCACTTACTGTTCGCTCACTTGCACTTAGTGCCACTCATTTTCACTCCCGTTCACTCACAACCCTGAACCCAAAACTTGTTGATTTTCATTCCTTGATCCTTTGGGATACTCAGGTAGATGGTCTCCTAGAACCTCTAGCCCTAAGTCGGGGTTTAGCTAGCAACAGTACATAGAGGACCCAAATTGAGATTCTATTGGTCCGTGGCTCAAATCAGGATGGTTGGCACCTCAATTTCACCAATTACCTAACTCAGTCTTTTGTCTCTGAAACCAATTTGGACTCTTTAATTGACCTCAATTTGCCCTAATTTGAATCTTAAACTCTTCATAATAATCCTACACATCAAATTGAACCTTCAATTGGCCATGGTCAAGCCTCAATTTCACTCAATGTCAACCCACATTCAAAATCCCAAAATTTGCCCCAAATTGGCTATCCCCAAATTCCACCAAATTGAATGGCCTAACCCCAAAATTGACATCCAATTGATGTTGAGAACCCTTCATGACATTCCCTTAGACCATTTTGAATCATCAGTTTGGACCTAACACAACTGTAGCCTAACCCAAACCAAGTTTAACCCAACACCCCGAGATTGGCTAAGTAAAAATCCACTAAATCGACCCTCCCAACCAACTCAAAATCACTCCAAATCTTTTCTAAACGTCTCATGACAACCATCTACATCATCCTGATCATTTGAGCCCGAACCAAAATCTTGACGGGAATCAAATTTGATGCATTTTTGACCCGATCGGCGACGAGATTGCCCAGACGACCCCAGATGACGAAACGGACTGCGCCGACGCGTCTGGAACGTTGATTTTGCCTAAGAGAGATGTTCATTACACAACGATGACATGTTCGGGAGAAGATGCACAAAATATAACTTATAATAATAATAATAATAATAATAATAATAATAATATTTCTATTATTATTATTGTAATATATAACCTTGTTTTTCCTTTTCTTCCTCTCTCCATAAAATCCCTAGGTTCGCTCACGGCTTCTCCCCCTCTCCTGTTCGCACACCCGAACAAACCCCTCTCTCTCCCTCATCTCCTTCGCGATCCTGTTCGCACACCCGACCGAACCCCTCTCTCTCCCTCATCTCCTTCGAGACACGGTAGGCGCCCATCCCTTATCCCTTAGTGTGATCTCCTGCCCCTCTGCTACTTCTCGAGCCGCCCGCATGGGGAGCGTCCTGCTCCGCTCGGCTCTTCGAGCCGCATGCGAGGGGGAGATCTCTCCCCGTCTCCTTTCCCCCTTGCCTATAAGAAGCCCCATTTGGGGAGGTTTTCGGTTAGCCGAAATTACTGGAGAAGAGGGAGGTGTTGTCGGATTGCTTCTAGAGTTTATCTTGCTCTTCTTATGTGCTCTATGTCAAGAGATAACCTCTTCCTTTTTTTTTCTCTTCATTAGCCATTTGACGTGATATTTTCCCTCATGTTGCAGTTCTTCCTGATGCCTTTTATTTGGATGATTGAGAATAAAAAAAAATGAATGAAGTCTTTTAATCTTAAGTTGATGGGTTTATAGTTGCATGCTAGGTGTTTGTTGAAATGATGCAAAGAAATCTAGTTCACCATATTTGCATCAAAGTTAGTGGTGAGACCTTTGAATCCTTCCTTTATGCACCTTATGCAAATCCTCGTGTTTTAAAAAAAAATCTGGAACTTGGGTGGTTGATTTGTGAACATCTGGAATCACCTAGGAGGGTCTTGTATCCTAGAGGGCCTTGTAGCGTTTCCTACTGTGGCTTTTCTTTATTTTGGAGCATGTGTAAGTGATGATATTTATGGTTGAGCGATGCTAAAACTTTTGCTTTGAAGCTTAGCTTTATTTCTCTGCCCCCTGTTATTCTCATGTTCAAACTGCATATAGGAGGTTACATTTATTTATCTCCTCTGTTGATGCTAGAAAATATATATATGCATGTTTTGGGGGTTCGATTCGGCTCCCCGTGGTTGCCTTTCTTTGCTTAAGTTGCATGATATACATTGGTGAAATGCCTTGTAGCTTGCTGATTCGGTTTTATACTTGCATGCTATTCACTATTTAGAGCTTTATGGCTTGACGATTTGGTTCAAAGAAACTTTCGTTACATGCTATATTTCATTTGGAAGCTATAGAGTTTATAGAAATCAGAAACTTCAACGCTTTTGTTTATTGAAAATTTGGAATTAAAAATTCGGAAACGGATTTGTGAAAATGTGAAACTTCGGAGTTTTGGTTTTTCTTCGCTCTGATGGTTTAAAATTGAGGCTTTTAGAAATTTTATTTTGGGTGGCCTATATGTGAAAATCTGAAACTTTGGGTGGCTTATTTGTGAAAATCTGAAGTTGTGGGGCGTTTTTTTTGCAAAATCTGAAATTCATGGGTTGTTTATTTGCAAAATCTGAAGTCTTTGAATGGCTTATTTGTAAAATCTGAAATGCATGATAAA